GGAAAAAGAGGAGCACTTCGCATCTGCAGATATCTTGTTGAGAAAGTGAAGCTTGACATCGATATCAAAGAAAAGAAATATGGTATAACAATCTTATGAAATACTGAATAATTGTTGTGTGTTTCTGTTCTTTTGATATTGAAATCCAAGCTGCTGAAGCATTTTCCTATCAATAGGGAATTTGTTGAATTTCTAGTGCTAGAACTTCACTGTCTCATTCGTAAAAGTGCACATACATGAGTGTTAGTTCTTTTCTTGTCACGTTGTTCCTTGATTGTTTTAAAAATAGATGCAGTTAGTTATCTACTTCCGTTTTACAGGTCTGACTCCTTTACATCTTGCAACTATTGAGAATTCTTTTCCTGTTGCTCGATATCTTGTTGAGAACGGTGCAAATGTGAATACTGCAGATCGGACTGGACATACTCCTTTGCTTTTTGCTGCAGCACTAGGCATGTTAACTACTTGGAAATGCAAATTGTTTGTTTGTTTGACTTCAGTTGTTCTATTCAACTGTTCTCGTTGAAGTGGGCAGAAGTTATTGTTTTAATTGTCTGTGCATATGTTGGAGTGAATGAATGGATTATGAATGAACATGGCATTTCAGGTTTGGAGAAAAGATGTGGCTATCAATTGTACCTTCTTTATTTAAACAAATCAGTTATGCTATATCTTGTCCCCCAGTTGGGGCTAGGTAGCTTAGCCTTAGACTTAGTGTGTAGTATATTGCTCTTGATGTTTTCCTTTTCAACTGTGCTAATACCTATACTGATGGATTTAATATATAATAAGTCTTCTAAACCTATGGAATTTTGAGCATCAAGAGTTTTGGAGTGTCTACTAAAAATTTTGAGCGCAGGGCTGGACAGTTTGCTGGACCAAAGAAACTTACACAAATGTTATCCTTAATTGTCTGTCTATTTTGGATTGAATGAATAAATGAACTTACAATTTTAGTTTTCGAGAAAAGACGAGGCTATCAATTATGGCTTCTTTATGAGGAAATCAATTATGATATATCTTGTCCTCTGGTGGTGAATTTGTAGCTCGCCTTTGACATGAATGTTGTATAGTGATCTTGACGTTTTCCTTTAGAATTGTGCTACATCTAAACCATGAATGTTGACCATTAGCATAGATTATCATTAGTGGATCCCAGTTTTCTTGGAGTGTCTACTAAATATTTTGAGTATGGGGCTGAACCATTTGCAGGCTCTAAGAATCTTGTACAGATGTTAATCACTAAAGGTGCTGATGTCAAAGCAGAATCTAGATTTGGCACTTCACTGCATGCTGCGTCAGCTGATGGCCGAAAGGACAATGTTGAGGTTTTGTTGGAAAACCATGCTGATGTGAGGGAAAGTTATTTTTCTTATCTATTTTCCCATGAAAAAGTTCAGTGTTACTTTGCTAAGGCATTTTGTGGCTGTATGTTGTGTTAACTGGGATGAGCTTGTGTGGTTTTGGCAAATAAATAAAGCGTAGTACAAGGGGGTCAATACCTTATCAACATGCATACTAATTTTGTTACTGAAATGGTACATATCAGATATTAAAATTTTTTACATATTGTTTTGGATTTATCACTATAAATATATATTTTTATAAATTAAATATCAAATTTTAAAATAATGATAAGAGAAATTCATGTTTAAAACCTTAGTATTCCTATAAATAGAAAACAAGTTTAAAAAGGTCAACTTGATGAAACATCCATAATTTTTTTTTTCAGAATATTAAGATAATATTAGGAAGCATAATAGTGTTATTTTCCCCTAGAATGGTTTCTATGATTTTATTAAAATTACTTTGCTAATTTCTTGTTTCTACTCTTGCATAGCCAAATGTGGTTTCTCCTGAACACTGTACTCCATTGATGGCGGCTATCTCTGCTGCGTCAGTTGACTGCGTGAAGCTGCTGCTTGAGGTCAGACTCTCTCTCTCTCTCAATATGAATTTCAATATTTTAGAATCCCTTTTTTTCTTTCTTGGCCAGTAAAAATATTCAAGCATGTATTTTTTTTTTCTTTAAAATTTTTTTTATTCCCTGATTCTAGAAGGCCACTAACATGTGGATAACATTGAAGTTGGTGTTTTGGAGGAATGTCTAGATTAGCAACCATACTTTGGTGAGGGATATCTAGATTAGCAACTCTAATTTGGCGATTGTCTTGCGTTTTGCAACTTATGTGGTATTAGTTCTGCGAATGGACATTATTCAAAGTCTCAAACAAGAAAACATAAGAATAGAAGTGTAGTTAGAATCTAGCCCTACGCATGATTGTGGTGCCGCTCTGGCATGAACTTCTGTACAGGGAGAAGCTGATGCAAACCACACGTCATTGAGTGGATCAACACCCTTAGCAGTGGCAGCACATGAAGGGTCGCCTGGAATTATTAAATGCCTGTTAAAACATGGAGCCAATCCAGATGCTATTGATTGTGTAAGTTATATCATTTTTTTGGGTTTACATGTGTCTTTTATTATTCAACATTTTTTCGAACAATTTTACCAGTGTGTAATCTTTTTCACAACATGGTAACATATTCTGAAATAGAGGTAAAAATTCTTATACCAGATCTTGGTTGTTAATCAATTTCTCATTTAACAATAGAGTTTACATTTGGTTTATTTTGTTAGCAGCTGTTGAATAATACAACAGTAAATCTGACAAATTAAAATTTTACCATATTCAGTTTAGGTTATTCTACTAAATGTATTTGATGCTGAGTCCATGTTCAGTTCATTTGTTATTAATCTATCTGGATTCAAGTTGAATTGTTTTTATGAAGCTCATTTATTTTCATCACAACATGAAAAATCAACTTTACTGTGATATGCTTTGCTGCTTGAACGTGCTGCAATTCTCAGAAACTCAGACTATTACATCTATTACCATTATCTTAAGGGAGTAGAAACACTGACATTTTTCTATTTTGTAATCCTCATCGAAATTTAGAAGCAATTATTAATCTATTTTGATTTTAGGCGTTCAAAACTTCGTAAAAGAAACTCTGGTCTAGGAGGCTAGAATTCTCATTCTTGCTAAAACTCACGTTGCCACCATTATTTAGCTTGTCTTGGTTTTTGAAATTTTAACACACTTTTTGTACCAGAGTGGTTTGAAGCCAATCATGACTGCAGCAATAATGGGTAATGCTGAAGCTGTTGCTGCACTGCTTCCAGTGACTACTCGCATTCAAACTGTTGTGGACTGGAGTGCTGATGGAATAATGAAGCATGTTTCTTCTGAAGAGGGAAACAAAGAGGTATTTGAAGGCTCATCTGTTCCTTCTTTCGAGGCCGGTGTAATTCTTTTTCCTTTTTCCCTTTTATTTAGGACTACTCTGGTATCTTGTTTCTTGTGTATACAATTCCCGATCTGTCATATCATTGAAAATTAGGATTCATGGGTGTGGTGGAAGGTCATAGTTTATTCTGTTTTGCCAAGATAACAGAAGGATTTTTTTTTTTCATGATGATAAGAATTATTGTTTATTATGCTAACTTAATGCTTTCTTCTGCTTTTAATTATTATATACTTATGGATCCTTTCTAATCACATAGTTCGGTTTGGTTTTTAAAATTAATTCCTTCATGCATTTTTTCCTTTTTGCTTTTAGGACTACTCTGGTATCTTGTTCCTTCACGTACATAGGTTTTCTTGTGCCCTGTTTTAGCTTGTGTTGGGTTAACTAGTTTTATGTACTGCTCTTGAAATATATTGCAGATAATGAGTATGCTTCAGGAACACTTTTCCCTGGCAAATTCAAAGGGGGATGAGGCTTTTAAGAGAAAGGATTATCTTTTAGCAAATTTTTGGTACATAGAGGTACATGGCCACAATTTAATGTTTGAGTTTCAATGTTTTTGCCACATAATAACTCTTTCAAATTTTAAATAAGAACTATATCTTTGATTAATTTCTAACCATTGTTCCTTTGTGTATTTCCTGTAAGTTTTTAAAATATCCTTTTAGGATGTTTGCCTTTTCAAATAGATTGTATTTGATATACTTAAAGTGTCATTATTTCTATTGGTACACACAGCACAATTGGTATATCAGTGATTTGGTACCTTACTTCCACATATCCAACCCTGTAGCTTACATCGTTTCTATACATATACATATATATATATATATATATATATTTGTTGATGAATACATCCTTTATATTAAGGCAATGCGTGATAGGCCCAGTGACTGCGATCTGGCTTTATTACTCTCAAAGAAAAGCTTCGGTTGGGCCCTCTTGGAAGAAGGATTTTTGGCATTAAAAGATGCTGAAGCTTGTGCCGAGATAATGCCTAACTGGCCAGTGGCACACTATAGGGTGGGAAAGGCGTGTATGTTATTAGAAGTAAGCTATTATTTCGCAGTTGGCTTATTCAACTGAGGTAGGGGAACATGACATGCTATAATCAGGGTTTTATAGCTTTTATTATACCATTGCAGGATTTTGACAAAGCTGAAATAGCTTTTCTTGTGGCTCTGAACCTGGATAAGGATAACAAAGAACTTCGACGTGCACATCGGTAGTAGTTTGTTTACAAACTTTCAATTTTTTCAAGTTGTTTAGCATAAATGGTGAACATGGTGGTAAGCTTCTCTGGTTTGATATGAACTTCTTTTCTTTTAGATTTTAACTGCTTACCTACCCTATAACTCAATAATTTGGCAACACAGCTTAGCTCTTTTTTGAAACCCTAACAAACCTTCCCCGAGAGCATGGCTGTTGCCATTAAGCTAAAGTTCCATTGAATTGGTTTGGACATAAACTGAGATGCCAGAATAACATAAGAATGTTTCTGTTAGTTTTGGGCTTTTAGGTTCACTTACCTCTGGCACAATAGCCACTTTCATTTCATCAGCCAAGAGTTCAGATACTAGAAAAACAGAAATCAGGTTTTCCTCAACTGTCTACTGGGAAATTTTTTCTAATTGGGATTAAGCGGATTAGTTGGCACTTTTTTAATGATTGAGCTTTTAAATGTTGGATTCAATCAGACCTGTTGTTGATGGCATTTGAAACTGAGGATTGTTTCTTTTCTTTTTTCTTACCATTTTACCTTTCCAAGCTTTGTCATTTCCAAGTGTGTGTCGATTACAATTTCACTTTTCTGCTAAATGGAGAGGAAAATTTCTTACTATCAGATATATTTTCTCCTTTTTCTATGTTTACCATGAATTTTATTTTTCAACAGGGAAGCTATTGCTGCTGGGAAAAGAGCTATTGAAGCCATTTTTGCAGCACTGCATATGTGATGGAAATTGCAAGATACTCCTTGATTGGCACTACTCTTTTGCTTTGTCAATGTCAGTTGAATAGAAACTGAATACTTTGGTGGAATGATGTTTCTTGTGCCTTCAACAAAGTGTGTAATCTGTATTGGTTCCAAATATTATAGTTCAGTACAGATGATATAATTGATGATAAAACCACAGTTAAAAACATAACTTGAAACTTGCTTTCTAAGGTTTGTAGGATCACTTAGGTATCTGCTCCAACGTTGCTCGAGATACCTGGTTTTAGATATACATACTATTCAGTTCTGCAAGCTTGCTTTCGATTGCTTTCAAGGGCTTTCAAGGCCTGTGCTAAGTGCATTTTAAGAAATTTTCTTGTTATAATAAAGTCTTAAAATATCCAATTACTCACACGGCATCAAAACAACTATAGTTATTACCAAAACAGTTCATCCTTCATTACGGGCTTATATACCAATAGTGATAAAGTTGAGGGATGGGTTTGAAATTTAATTTAGCGTGATTGATTTTGGGCCAAAATTGATAGGACTGGACCCAACCTACCAGTCAAGACGGGTCAAGATCCGGCCCACCCTACTTCTCTTACCCAGCCTCCCCTATTTTGCTCTTTCCTCTCCTTTCCTTAGCGAGAAGCATAAAACGTCTAAGCAGCCAAGCTTTCCCTCCGAACTCCAAATCGTTCGAGATCTACTTTTCTTCCATCCAAATTTTCCTCCGATAAGTTTCCGGTACTAATTTCAAGCTCCCTTCTTCAGATGTCCTCGCAATATCCGCCTCCGACCACCGCCTTCCTCACCGGCGCCTCTCGCTCTTCCTCATTCACGCGTCGCCCATGGCGCGAGTTCCTCTCCGTCTCCTCCTTCGCCCGCCCCTACTCCTGCGGCGAGGCCACCGTCCGTATAAAGCGGAACCTCTACTACTTCCGCGTCAATTACGCCATGATTCTCCTAGTAATTCTCTTCCTCAGCCTCCTCTGGCATCCCGTATCCATGATTGTCTTCTTGGTCATCTTCGTCGCTTGGTTCTTCCTCTACTTCGGTCGCGACGAGCCGTTGGAGGTTTTTAACCGCACAATCAACGACCGCCTGGTGCTGGGAGTTCTTGGCGTTATTACCATCGTGGCCTTGGTTTTGACGGGTGTGTGGCTGAATGTGTTGGTCTCGATTCTGATTGGGGCTTTTCTCGTAGGACTGCACGCTGCATTTAGAGGAACTGATGATTTGTACCACGACGAAACAGAGGCCGGCGAGGGTGGATTGTTTTCAGTAGTGGGAAGCCGCATGACCAGAGCTGGATACGGCCGCGTTTCTTCAATAGAAGTCTAAATTGAAAACGGTTAGTGGGTTTAGATAAGTTTTAAAGAAGAATAGATTCATTGCTTGTTATATGATGCTTCGTTTTGTTAGCCTACAATCTATATTACGTATGGAATATTTTTGTAAATCTTGTAGTGACTGAATTGAATAGTTTTCCCAATATTGATACAGTAGATGAATTCAAGTGTGTTTAGTGTTTTCTGAAGCTTTTTGGATTTGAAGAACCCTTTAAAGTTTAAACTCCATTTTGGTACAAAGGTTTGTTAATATAATGTTGCAAATTTGTGGGTGTCCCAATTCCCAATTCTGTAATTTTTTGAAGCATAAAGATTTCCATTGAGCAAAAAGAGTAATGTCCTTTTTAGTGTTTTTATCATCCAATGTGCTGTTGCCTTGCCTGTGAGATGTAAAGAGGAATTGTTGTTGTCAGTTGTTGGTTGTCACTGCTCCCATGGAAGGCCTAATATAAGCTGGCATTCCACATTTGTCATGGGCAAATGGGCTCCCTCCTAAAGTTCCTTTTTCTTCTTCCTTTGAATTTATTAAAAACCTTCCTAAAGGAGTTTGGTTTTAAGAGGGGTATTCCATGTCATATACCATCGTAATTCCTTTTTTCTGGTTCCTTTTGAGGTGCAATGTTAGCAAAAATGCTTTTGAATGCCATTGAGTTCTGGATGATGCCACTCTGGTTGTTGGTTAGTAGGATTGGATTTTGCCTGCTAATGGATGCTAGCTGTGCCGTATTATTTACCCATATTACTCAGTACAATTATGGCTTTGATCAGGACTGCAGCTTTAGGGCTTTTTTTTCAGCAATCAGTTTGTGATGGAACATAAGAATATCTCTTCAAACCCCTTAAATTTGAGAACTTGGATAATTTATATTTTTGAAAAGTGTTTTACAGGTTGGGCTGCACTTTAAAAGTGCAGTCCAATCTATGAATTTGCTAACATACCTTTAACAAAATTATTTCTTATGTTATTTCATTAAGAGTATTGAAGTAATTTCATATGTCGAATTACATTTTTAATATGTAGTCTAGCCTGTAAAACATGTCCCTTATATTTTGAATAAGCGTTGATGTTTTGATTGAGAAGTTTGGAGGCAAGGAGTAAGTAGCAGGGGTTGGAGTAGATTGGCTATGGTTTACAAATTTTATATTAGTTTCTTTAGTAGAGCATAATGCTAAGGCAGAAAATTCCAATCTTCTCAAGGGGAAAGACATGCTTCAGCAATTGCGTTTACCAAGATTGCCCAGAAGGGTCATCATCTCTTTGTAGAAGCCAGGAAAGTTGGCGACTTTGAGTCGCTATGGTGGGATGATGTTAGGTATCACTTCAATGGTGTATGCCATCGTGTTTGGGATAGGTGCCGATATAGCCGAGCTACTCTTCAGTTCAGTGACAACAAAAGTGATGGGGAGGATGTTGTGTTTTCATGTAGCCAGCAACTTGCAGAAGTTTATCAAGGGATTGATGTGTCTGTGGCCAGGAATCGGCAAACGTGGGCCAGATGCTCCTTTGTTGAATAGTTCATCTCTAATTCTCTGGAATTTAACTATTACTTTTTTTAAATCACCTTATCTGCATTTTTTTCTTGATAAATTCCAGAGCATCAAAGAAGAAGAGAAAGCTAATCTTAAGCCATGAATTCTTGCTTTTTGGGTGAAAAGTAAAGATCAAGATAAGATAAAATGAACAGCGTATAGAAAAATTTTCTGAATAAGTAATTTGAGTAATAAAAAATTAGTTGATGATGTAGAATATAACGTTGTTTCCTTGGAGCAAAGAGAGCAACCCAGTGGACTTTTCTTTAAAAATTTTGGTTTGTGATTGTGAGCCATCCATCACTTCATAAATGAAGCTCTTATTGTGTCCCTTTCTTTTTCAAAAAAGAAATATCTTCGGTTCCATTTCCTATTTTCAAAAAAAAAAAAAAAAAAAAAAAAAGAAGAAGAAGAAGAAAAGAAAAGAAATATCTGACCAAGATTGGATTGCCGTTCATATTCATGATTCATGCATTTTCTCTACAATTTTGAAGCTTACCAAACATTGGTTCATTTATTATTCATTAAAACAAAATGCAGAAAGCCACATCAACAACATGAGAGAGGAAATGGTAATGGCAATACAAGCAAATTCAAATTCTAGAAATTTTAACGAACATGGACTTTTGAAAGATCCTTAATGAAAGAATCAAGGTTAACATCAGATGATCCACCTTTCACAAAAGCCCCACGGCATGCTTCTCCAAGTTCTCTAGCCCTTCTCCTCATTTCCTTTCCTTCATCATTTTCCAAATTCATAAACTTCTGTATAATCTCCGCGATTTCTTGCCTCGATACTAGATTTTCACTTCCTATGTCTCTCTTCACTCTCCATCCAATCTGCCAATCCTCTACTATTTGCTTGCTGTTGGGGATTTGATCCCAGAATATAGGAAAAGTAAGCATTGGAACACCAGCATAAACAGCCTCAAGGGTTGAATTCCACCCGCAATGCGTCCAAAACCCCCCAACAGAAGAATGACATAACACCCTTAATTGGTCACACCAAGGAATCACTAGTCCCTTATCCCCACAGCCATCCTTTAACCAAGATGTGTCCCCTCGTGACACCCACAGGTACCGAACACCACTATCGCGCACCCCAGCTACTAATTCATCCATTTGTTCAGTTGAAGTTGATAGAAAGCTCCCCAATGAGATGTACAAGACTGAA